CTCTCCCTTCAGCCCTCGCCTCTCCCCCTCCGACCCAAGCCCGCATCGCCACTCCTGGGGAGAGGGCTGCCTTCCTCCTTTCAGGGGATCCCAGAGCTGCGGGCTGCCCAGAGGGGGGTCCCATTGGGTTTTGAATAGCTCCATGGGAGAAGACTCCACAACCTCTCTGGGAATTGCCCCTGAGCCTTCTCTCAGCTGAACAGCCTGAGCTCTCTCAGTTCTTCCCTCCAACAGAAGCCCACATCTTCTCAAGCCTTCCTCTTCCAATGCCTCCTTCCCTTCGTCTCCCCCTTTCCCTTCCCTCTCCTCCCTGTTGGGCAGGGAAGGGTGGAGAGTAACCCAGGCAGAAGGAATCCCAAACCAGCCCCCATGCCTGCTGTGGTTAACAAAACCCCATGTACCTGGGGTGTGACTGCCTGGGGCACGTGTGTCTGGGCAAGGCGGCGAAGGAGAAATGCCTTGAGAACCTCTCAAGGACTGCAGAATATTCCTGTCTGCGGCACTGTGTCTCCTGTACTTCACCCCAGAAGCAATGCAGGCAGTGTGCTTTGCCTGGATTTGTATCCTGAGTTCTTTACAAGTGCCTTCCAGCAAGATAAATGTGTTAGAGACACTTACTTTTGATTTCTGCACATTTGGCCTTCTGGGCTTTTTGTAGCAATACCGGTAGTTTTTCAGATGGCACAGAGGAGTTAATTCTTTTGTTTTTCTACCAGTTTTTAAACTAAAAATTCATTCCAACATATTATCTAGGTACTTTGGAAGTCCATTCCCTCCTCACATTACCCAAAGTGGGTTTCACACTTTCAGCTCAAACAGTAAAGCCAGGTCTTCCCCTTGGCCCCATCTTCCATGCCTTTTCAAATTTTCCAGTTTGCTCTTACACTCCTTGATTCAGGAACACCTTTGTAAGTGTACGTGGCAGCCTGATGAGACTTAGAGGCTGTGCCGGTCAAAGGGTGGCAGCTGGACTTGCTTTGCTTTTTTCCAGGTTAGCACTAGCAGAGGTGCAGAGGAGATAAATCATACTGCTTCATACAAGAGCAGTATCTCATGGACCCAGAGCTGTGCCTTTCATAGTGTTCTGGGAATAGTTGTGGATTTTTGGAACCACTCTCTAGAATGATGGAAAGGTGAATATCCTCCATGCATGAGGTCATTTCAGAAACAGAGTGTTTTCAAATGCCTGTACCACTAACCTGTAGCAATGCACTTGATTTTATATTTAGTTTCTGGTATTAGCAGTAAATTCTTGTTGCTTTCCAATTTCCCCAGACTTCTTAGCATTGATATTATCTGATTTTTAATGCCTCAGTCTGTGTAAGCAGTCACAGATACAAATTAATATCTATGAACCCTGCTATTTCTGTGGCATTGTTCCTTACACATACTCCACAAATCAAGGCTCCTGATATTCATGATCTTCTCTCATACAGCAGGAAATTCTTAACAGAATAGATACTTGGGTGTCAGTATTTTACAAATCCATTGTATTCAGTTTTCCTGGCTTTCTTTAGCATACTGGAAACTAGAAAACTACCTTTAAAATTAATAGCTAATATTCCCAAAGTCATATGATTCAAACAGCTTGGGTAAAATATGAAATATTGTAGGCAACTTCGTATGCAAATATTTTTATGAAGCCACAACAGAAATTAAAATTCTGTTCTTGAGTTGTTCTGCTCATAAAGGTCACCTGTCTGTTAAAGGTATCACTAATTTCTAGTTGTTAGGAAGATAAGGGTCTGCCACTTATCGTTTGCCCCAGCTCTCATGGAACTGAGTCCATTTGTTTGTCAAAAAATAGCTTCTTCAGAGTAAGTAGAAAGCACAAGAGGGAGACAGTGCTACTTCTCTGTATAAGGAAGCTGGGACCCAGCTACCCAGTCTGGGAGAGTAAAAACCCCTACAAATCTGGGGCACAAGGGTTAAGATTTCCCAATTTACTAATCATTCTGAAAAAAAAAAAAAAAGCCTTAAAAATCTGCTTGCAGAGACCTTATGGGAGGAGAGCATTAAGGGTGTTCTGAAATATGAGTGGGACAGCAGCATCCACAGCCATGGTTTTGAGGAACAAACCTTGTCATACTTCATGGTTGCAAAGCACCCTTACCTGTTTGTGGCACAACAACTAGAAGAAACGGCCTCAGGTTGCACCAGGGGAGGTTTAGGTTGGATATTAGGAAAAATTTCTTCACCGAAAGGGTTATCAAGCACTGGAACAGGCTGCCCAGGGAAGTGGTTGAGTCACCATCCCTGGAGGTGTTTAAGAGACATGTAGATGTGGTGCTTAGGGACATGGGTTAGCGGTGGACTTGGCAGTGCTAGGTTGACAGTTGGACTCGATGATCTTAAGGGTGTTTTCCAACCTAAGTGGATTCTGTGATTCTATGACCAGAAGGTGGCAGCAGGTCAACAGTGAGACCAGAGTCCCTCCATTTCCTTTACCAGATTCCAGGTTGTTTCCCTGTCCTACAAAGGCAAACTTTACTGACGGCTGTGCTACAGGCAGCTATAAGCAGGACACAGGGAAAAAGAAAATGCTTATCTTAAAAGTTCAATTCCTATTTCATCTTTCATACACTCTCAGTCTTATCTAAATAAGAATTTTGCACTGATTAGCTATGGAGTAATGTACACTGGTTTAAAAGCCAGCACATGAGATTTCATACTTCATCCAGTTTCTGTTTGATAACATTCTAGTAACAAACTTTAGTATCCTAAACTTACTGTATTATTATACTATACCATAGTGTAATTTTAAAATAATTAAGAATTGCTAAGTACAGGACGTGTTTTTAAGTATAAAATCCTGCTGGTTTAATTACTACATAACAAAAAGTGTATTTTCTAGTAAACACTACTTTTCAAGTCTGTTGCACATTTGCTCGCAGGTCCTCTGCATATCAGCTTTCAACAGTTGGCATTCAAAGCAATGAAAAGCTATCCACATGTGCCCTATGTATTTTTCTGAAGGCAAATACTGAATTAAACTGCAGATCATTGTAACAGAAATCTTGAGTTTGGAATGAATGGCATCTGAATGGAAATATATATGAAGAGGCATCTGAATAAAGAACAAATGGAACAAGAGATAAAGACATGGCATGCCTTAATTGATGCAGAAGGCTGTCCTTCAAATAGCCAGAAAACAAGGACTGCAGCAATTTAAAGCCATAAAGATAAGGTGAAAAAGAGCTGAAAAACAGGATTGCAGCCATAAAATACTCAAGTAGGAAAATAAAGAACACTGAGACTCTGCGATTTTGCCTCAGACTTGCAAGGGCCAAGAGAGGACAGTCAGACAAAAGATCTCAGTATATCTCTACTCATGGAAGATGCAAAATGTACAACCAAAATTCAGTTAATAATAACATTTGCCAGTAAAAAAGAACCTCTAGACACATGATGAGAACTTAGCAGCTGCAGACAGCTCTCCTCTGTGGCACTATTATTCCTTCCCAGATTATTTGGACAAACATGTCTTGGCACTTGTGAATATGAGAGAATGAGTAAGTGAAACCCATGGCAGAAGGAACGTGAGTGAAATCAGTTTTGCTTAAAATAAAAATCACCTTCCTCTTCCAGAAGGATTCACACTGAGCCTTCCTACAAAAACCACTGTAGAGAACATAGCATTTTTTTCACATCTAGGAAACTAGGAACAAAGCATAAAAATTTAAAGCACAACTTCTACCCCATAAGTTTCTCCTGTTTTCTTTGATTTTTCCATTTTGTGCTACACCACTACAAGGACTTTCATTTGAAAAAGCCACTCGCCAATATGTGGTTTATAAATTAAAATGGATTTTCTCTGGAAGAGAACAGGATAACCTAGTGCTTCCATCTTCACTCTCTTCATTTTACCTGTTTCCTCCTTCATGTCTCTGTGCCTGAGTGCCCAAAATTCCATGCACCAGAAAGGTTCAGAAAGATATGACATCAAGGAAATCCCAATGTAAATAACAGGAAGAATCTCCTAAACGCAAAGGTTTACCTGACTATGCAGTCGTCTTCTGTGTGAAAATAATGCAAGACCCAGCCTTAAGGCACTGCAAAGTATTGAAAACTGGAGGAGAACAAATTCTCTCGTCTGTTCCAGCTGTGGGGGAAGAAAAGGACGGACACCAGATAATATTGTGCATTTCATTGTTACTTTCTATAATTTCTTCTGTCTGAGAGAAAGCATGGCCTCAGACTGTGTGTTGCCTTCCTCCTACACAGAGCTATGCAGGTGATGTGCCTAATCGTTCAGTGGACAAAATGTAGATCCTGCAATGGGATCATGATATCACCCCACCAAAATATCAAGTCACCTGGAATGGGTTGTTACGTTTAACAGATGACTTCTTCAAAACAGGTGCTATAAAGTCATCTGTGTTGGAAAAATCTCCCCACTGCATAACCCAAGAGTCA